ACAAATGCATGCAAGACGGATTTGTAGATGTGAAGAACAATACTAATCTTCTCTAACATTTTGTGATCAATTCCTTATTAACCTGACTTCAATTTTTCGTGCCATGAAAATCTTTATTATTTTGAATCGTAACTTATTACTAACATACATAGACAAAACCAGAAGTTCACCGACTTCATCACCTACTAGCTAGAACAAATGAAAATACCCCACTTATACAATAGTGAAAACAAAACAACACTAGTTGGCCACATGTAATTGTTTATTTGTACGTACATATTTTGCTAAGAAAAACCTTTCTTTGATGGTTTAGTGTAAAATTTAGAAAATTGGGAAGATATACATATATGTCGATTTTATTATAAGTCATTTTTAGTGAAAATCTTAATATGCATGTGCCAATTTTACTATTCAGATAATAGTATGATTAGATATAATACGATCATACAACCTATAAGATTGAGATAATACATGGTTCTAAATAGTTCGACAAAATCAGTCATGTGTGAACGCGTAATGTAAGTATCTTTACTGACTTGTGTAAGACTCATTATATGTACTTATGTTTATTGATAGACCTCGAATTGAAATGTCCACCTGAACATCCGAACTCGAAGCATGTTGGCCGACAGGTGGAAAATGACAAAGCCATAAAGAGTTGATGATGTATAAAAAGTGTGAATAAATTAAAACCGAAACCTAAAATTAATTTAAACTAGTAGTGTGAGTGCGCAGTAACAGGATGAACCCTTATTAGCCATGCAACGTCAGAGCATAAGTAATTTTGCAGTAAAGTAAAGAATATTCACATCCTAAAATGATGGAGACTACTACAACATACATGAATAAGAATTCCCCCACATTGATTGATGTTAATGTCAGAACCACCAAAGAACTCTTCCCTGCCATAGAAATCCAACTAAGACCCCCCGGGGGGGGCATTATAGAAAGTTGTGAGAAGGAAAAAAAAATTAGAGTTGAATAAAACCTTTGTTTTCCACAAAATACTAACTCCTTGTTGTAAAACCTATATAGTTTCCTAAGTAACATACTCTGTATAATATGAAAACAATACCGTATAAAATTAATATTTTAAGAATACAGTGATAACAATATCTCAAATATAATTCATCGACATATGCTGAGAGAAGCTCATGTAAAGACATTTTGACAAGAAACATACTGGGTGTAATAATGATTTACGCTCTTGTAATACATACATGTGAAGCTAGCGCTAAGCATGTCACATACAAGATATAGTTGCCTAATGCAGACTAGTACAAGTTGGCACCTACAATGGAGCCAAGGTGAGCATAGCTGTATGATCTGAATATACACGCGAAGCTGGTCTTGGCCCGGACAAGCACAACTTACCGGTGTAGGCATGCATGATGAGCACATAAAATATGTAAAATCATGCTATGATAGTTTCATAAGTATAATCATGGCATGGTGTAGAAAATACTTTTTCAAGCATTTAAGGAAACTATATAAATATAATACGCTTGAAAGCAAAACACACTCACTGGTAGTAGTCGATTCGTAGTCACTTAAATTAGGAAGGACAGGGCCACCAATAACTATTGCACCTAATCATATATAAGGACCCTTTAGCAAAACTCCATTAAAATAATTAAATTTGGAGAAACATAGTGCAAAAACAAAATTAGCGCGTCGATATCTTATATAGGGTCTCAAAGTCGATTTTTGAAAAAAAGTCAACGGTTAATGTTGACTACTGAACACTAACCAGTCAACGTCAAAGCACTGTTCTAAAAATTCCTACCTAGCGCTGCCTAGGCGTTAGACGGCTGACCACCACCTCGATTAACCCCTACCCGTTTGAAAATTATGAAAGTGCACCTAGACTTGCTTAGGCATCCGTGAGGTTTGGCAAATGGGTCATATTTGTTGTGTTTTGTGTAACACTTGTTATCTTAGTGGGTTGTGTCGTGTCGTGTCACACCCGTTATTTTAACAAGTCCTTAACAGATCAAGTCACTTTACCCAACAGGTAAAATGACCTAACTTGTTATGACCCATTAAGAAAAAAACACATTGCCACATAAATATTACTTTAAAACATAAAAACACATTTGTCGTTAAGTACTACATCTACACTCCAAAATAAGAACCTAATAAAAAAGCATCAATACACTACTAGTCGACTACAAAATACCAAATGTGCAAGGATATGCAAAATGAAGGAGTTTTTCTTTTCAAGGTTGTGAAGCCTTTCTCATAAGTTAAAATCTTGCCAATGAAACTCAAAGCTTGCATGTTATTCCTTTTACAAAATTCTTCAATTTTCATTGATCATCATGGGGAAATTATATTGGAACTTTGGCTTTATCTATTGCCTTCAAGAGTTATGTTGATGATGTTTTCGGTAAGGTTTTCCACATCAAACTCTCTTCCGCATAAACTAAGTATAGAAAAACCAAACATTATAAACCATTCAAATTATGAGAAGTTTACCAAAACAATTATGAAAAGAAATAAAACAATAGTACCATACCATATAAAAATATATTACCTCCTTTTCCAACTAGCCAATCTCGTGTATACAACGAAGCTTGAACTAAGAGCGGCGTCTGGAGAGATCGAGAGTGAATGAGAGAGGAGGATAGTTTGGGCTCCAACCTAAGGTACAATGGACGGTTGAGATTAAATCTAAACCGATCCAATGGTCATCAATTTTCTAAATTTAATTATATATATATATATAATTATAATATTATTTTTATAGGGGTATAAAATTATTAAATTAATATTTTGCTTATCGTGTATCGGCTTACCCACGTGTATACCCGGACCAACCTGTTATCTTAATAGGTGCTTATCGGGTTACCTGATAACAACTCGATTTGTTGTGTCAACCCAATAACCTACTAATTTCTTGTCGTTTTGTATCGGGTTAACGGGTCGTGTCAGAAATTGCCAGGCCATTTGCCTAGCTTGCCTAAACCCACCTAAACTCGTCTAGACACCCGCTTAGGTCGTAACTCTCACTTAGACAGAAAATCAATAACTTTCATTTTATGTTTCTAATAAAATATAAGAGACTTGATGAATACTTGGATGAACACTCATTATAAGCTTGTTTCCTATATTTTCAATATGTTCTAAAACTTTATAATCTATATGTCATTTTGTTTTACAGTTTATGTTTCCAGATACAATTATGTGTTGTTGTAAGTACAAATAAGTACTTATTTATACAATATACAATAAATTTACTTAAATCCTCCTAGGTGCTAGGCCCCAACCCGTTGCTCGACTAGCGTCTAACATCTTTTAGAATATTGGGTCAAAGTCAACGCCAATCCAAGCAACATGAAATATCCCATCATCGAACATGATACTTGAAATGGATTATTCCGTTCACTAGATGAATATTTCCTTAAAACTAATGAGGAGTTAACGGAACATACCTAAAATATTTCGATCTAGATTTGAAAACAAGTTTGGTTATCGGGTTGAATCTCAAGTTAATAGGTCGAGTCAAAACTGTCTTTGGGTTAGGTCGACCCTGTTCTGGTTTCAGGTTTGGCCTCTAGAACTCATCGGTTTTCTGGAAATTTGGCCGAAATTATTTTCGAGTTTGTTGCGTCGCTGTAGTTGCTCCAATGTCCAAACCAATAACATATTGGATTCCTAGAGTTGAGGCAAACACGATGGTGGAAGCCTTGAGTCAAGGGTTGTCTTTTTGAGGTTTGGCCAGAATACAGTTGCCGACTTTTGGAAAACTTATCGAAAAACTGGGGAAACTTCCCAAACTCGAATATGCGTCAAAACTTAACCAAAACACGTAATCCACATATGAAAAATCCATCTACTCAACGAGACGAACATAAAGGTAGTGGTTTTAGGGCTTACCTTGGATGGACTTAGGGCTGGTTTGGTATTGCTGTGCTTTGAAAAAAAGCTGCTTCTGCTATGCTGTGAGAATAAGCAGTTGTGAAATAAAGCAGCAGAGTGTTTGGTAAACTTTTTTGTAAAAGTTCTTTTGAAAAGAAAAAAAAAAGCAGTATTATAATGTTTGGTAAACTTTTATGTAAAACAGATGTGAGAAAAAGCCGGTTTTTCAAAGCTAGGTTTTGCAGCTTCTTGTTTTTGGCTTTTTTTCACCCAAAACTGTGAAAAAAAGCTGAAGTTGAATGTTTACCAAACACAAAAACAGCTCCCAGCTTTTTTCAGAATCACCTTAGTACCAAACCAGGCCTTAGCGAGAAACTCACTGCGAAACTCTTGTTCGTGTCAAAGCTTCTCAAATCGGTGGTTTACGTCCGAAATTCATGAAAAGAATGGCATGGCTAAATTCGTGGTGGTGAGGCAATCATGATGGTCATGTTTAATGGTCAAAACTGGCTGCAAATAGTGATGGTAATGATTTGTTGTAGTTCAGTCCAGAGAGAAGAGAAAGACATACTAAGAGAAAATTGGAGAAGAAGGGGAAACACGGAGAGAGGGACAGAGATAAGGTATGGGCCTAAGTGGCATGAACTCCAACTTCGAAAAATGATAATACCAAAATGTGTCCAAGCAGATGTGAAATTAATTTGCCCTTGACGTTCGTGTTTCGTAAAATCTTTGTTGTGGCTTTAAATTCAATTTCACTTGCGCTCACGCGTTCGTCTTGTTGAGTACTACAAGGATACGACAAGAAAGAAAACAAATTATGGACTAAGCTCAAACGTCTACTAGGATTCTACTAAGCCCAACATGGGTTTTCTCGTCAATTCCCACCTTTGGGAATTAAAATTCATTAAATTTTTAGAATGAGTCGTCATATTTACGATGACTTGCTAACACGTATTGTGATTGTATTTAATAATATGTACTAGGTACAATTTTGTTCTTAAGTTTTTCAACTAAATGAAGTATCAAAATCAAATTATAGTTGTTCAAAAAAAAAAAAAAAAAAAGAGTCGCAATTGTTGAAGACCGTTGTCAACATAGACAACGACTTCCGCTCTTCTGGTCCGGCAGATGAACGCAAAAACGACCCGCGAAAAAAAAAAAAAAAAAAAAAAAAGGAAATCGACGACTCATAAGCCAAACGTACGCTTCGGCTATCGTGTCAGAAACTCAGATCCAATTCCAGCTCCCCCCTCCCCCAACTGTATCTTCCTCCACACTCCTCTCTCTCTAGTCGCTACATTTCCCCACTCTTTACTTTTCCCTCATTTCACTTTTCCTATTTACCAAACACACGCACTCTCTCTCTCTCTCTCTCTCTCTCACAAAGCTAAAACTTGGTGGTTGGCTCCGCCTCCATTTCGTTATCATCAACTCCTCCTTCGAGTCCACTCTCTCTGCAACCAAATTAAAGTGTCGGTGGTGGGATCGGATTGCATTGGTTGTTTCTCTCTCCTAAATACTTATTTTATCTCTATTACTGCAATTTCTATAGAGATTAATAGAACTTTTCGGCTCCTCTGCACTTTCTGCTCTTGGGATTTTGCTCACTCATGCAATGGTCACCTGGTTAGTACTTAATCTGTTGATTTTTTCTTTTGGGTGTAATTATTTTTGTGTTTTGACATTTGGGTTTAATCCGTTTGTTTGCATGCAACTGGTTCTGATTGGATTGAGTGTTTGTTTGGATTTTAGAGAGGCAGCAAGTGGGTTGGAGTGGTTGGTTGGGGAGGTGAATCATGGACCACAAGCCATGGCTTTGGAGGAAGAAGTATGCAGATAAAACCAATGCAGCTGCAGCAGCAGGAGACAAATTGAGTGTCTCAGTCAAAGGAAATGAGGAAGAGGTACACATTTTTCCTTAATTTTTATGTCAAAAATCGTAGTTTAGTGAAATTCATGATGTTTTATTCGAATCTACATCACCTATAAGTAGAAATGTAAATGGTTTGTCATATGCTGTTACGCTAATCTTCCCTTACACTTTTGTACGGTCCAAGGTCGCTCTTGGAGATTCACTTGAAAGATTCTGAAAATCGAATAATTTCACGCAGTTGAAACATTGCTAGATTGGCTTAAGGAAGTCAATTATTGTGAAGAGAACTTGTTATGCATTACATTAGTGAAATATATAAACAAGAAATTGTTGGAAGAGTGAGCTATTGAATAATTGCGTAGAGCGATTCTTTTTTGTTTTAATGTATATATGTTAAATAATTTTGTGGGGTTTTGATGATCAGAGAATAGAGATTTTACAGGAGAGGCTGGTCAATTTTGACAAGTAAAATTTTTCTTTCAAATATGTTAAGCCTTCAACTTTTAGATCAATTAGAAGCTTTCGTGAAAATATTTTTGGAACTAATCCTTGGTAAATATGCAAGTGAATCCTGGAAAAGCACTAGCTATGTGCAAACTAGTGCTTCTTGGAGGAAGCACTTCAACTGCTTTTGGAACAAAAAAACATTTTCTCTAAAAGCGTTTTTAGTCATTTTAAAAGGAGTTCCAAACGAGTACTTCCATGCAAGACCTGTAATATATCTTAAAAGTTAAAAAAAATGCTAGTGCTAAATTTTGATATGAATAAAGTAACTACTAATACTGTGATCACATTTTGTTGATATATTGAAACCCAAAATAAACAGGCCCTTTAGACTTCTATACAGTTGGGTGAGTGAGATGTCGTTTTAGAAATTCCTATTTTGTGATACCAAGATGCAAACTTGGACAAATTGGTCTCATAAGATTTAAAATAAATTTTTTGAAGGCAATTTGAAATTTTTATCTTAACTATACCATACCTTGAGCAGCCCAGAATTTTCAGTTTTCTCCTTTGTCAGAAATTAGCACTAGAGAACAACTACTAAATTGACCTGATTATCCAATCACAAACCATATGATTGTCAACCAAAACGTCTTACTGCATGGTAGTTTCCAAGGGATAGCAGATATGCATCCCCTGTGTAGCTGTGGGGATTAACAAGTTTTAGACTTTTGATGATCCTAACCAATCAACTGCTGTCTAATAGTTTTTCCTTGTAATGTGGACAGAAGAACTGAAAGTTTGATTTCCTACGGGAGTAATGGTAATTGGTTACCATCTTTTACAAATGTTTATGATACCTGTTGTTTGAGGTTGCTACATATGTTTTTATTGAGAATTTTGCTTTTCATACAGGAACCGTTGAATATTCTTGGAGGCGTTAATGGTACTAATTTTCAGCTTACTCTGTTTTCTTTATTTATTTTTTTTAGATGGAGGCACTTCAGGCTGAGAAGGCAGAGTTGGAGAATAACCTGAAAACCCTCAGTGATAAGCTTGCTTCAACTCTCTCTGAATGTAACAGTAAAGATGCACTTGTGAAAAAACATGCCAAAATGGCACAGGAAGCTGTTCAAGGTAATTCATGGGTTGAAAAGTTGTGCCGGAAATTTCCAATAATCTTTGCATTTTACCAGTATATCATTTTTCATGTGGATGTTTTATATAGGCTGGGAGAAGGTAGAAGCAGATGCGGGATTTCTGAAGCATGAATTGGATAAAGCTTTCCAAGTCAGAGCAGCTGGCGAAGAAAGAATAGCTCAATTGGATGGTGCGCTCAAGGAATGCATGCAGCAGCTACGATTTGTTAGAGAAGAACAAGAACAAAGGGTTCACGAGGCTGTGATGAAGACATCAAGAGAATTCGAGAAATCGCAGGTAGTGTTGGAGGAGAAGTTAGCAGAGGCCACTAGAAGGGTTTCTAAAATCAGTGCTGAAAACACCCGTATAAGTAACGCTCTTTTAGTGAAGGAAAAGTTGATAGAAGATTTAAGAAAACAATTGACAAAGGTGGAAGCTGATTTCAATGCACTCACGACTAGATTAGAATCCACTGAGAAAGATAATGCTTCTTTGAAATATGAGGTTCGGGTGCTCGAGAAAGAGCTTGAGATCCGGAATGAAGAGAGAGAATTCAATCGTCGAACCGCTGATGCATCACACAAGCAGAACTTGGAGGGTGCAAAGAAAATTGCAAAGTTAGAATCAGAATGTCAGAGGTTGCGGCTCCTAGTCCGGAAGCGGTTGCCAGGCCCTGCTGCTCTGGCAAAAATGAAAATTGAAGTGGAAATGCTAGGACGGGACTCTGTTGACGTGGGGAGGAGAAAGTTGAATGACTCTACAGTTGATAACTTTCCTGAGACTCCCAACAAAAAGGTTAACATTTTGACAGAGCAGTTATATGCTATGGAAGAAGAAAACCAGACTCTCAAGGAAGCACTCAATAAAAAGATAAATGAACTCCAGTTCTCTAGAAACATGTATGCCCGTGTAGCTTCTAAATTATCACAATCTGAAACACCACATGAAGAATCGTTAAAAGGCCAGGAAACCATGGAGTCAATGAGGAGTAGTCTTATGTCACATGAAGTCTCCGTAGCATCTATGTCTGATATTGGCAGCGATGATAAGGTTAGCTGTGCTGATTCATGGGCATCTGCCTTGATTACGGAACTGGAGCACTTTAGAACTGAAAAACAAAAAGGGTCTCTGACGAGCAAAACTGTCGGAGCTTCAGACATAAATCTGATGGATGACTTTGTTGAAATGGAAAAATTAGCAGTTGTTTCTGCTGATAAACAAAGTTTCAGTTCTCCTGTTCCTTCAGTTAAGGCATTTGTTGCACCCATGGAAACAGAGTATTCCTCCGAACTTTTGGGTAGCAAGATGGTCCCTATTTCAGACAGTGAGTCAGGCCTCAGTATGTCAAACAGGGAGACCAGGTTTAACAACATTGTCGATGGCAAAACTCCTCAATGGGTTGAGGATATGGTGAAACTGGTGGTGGAGCACAACCGTGTTGCAGGAAGAAACCCTGAAGAGATACTCGAGGATATAAGAATAGCTTTGGCATGTACAGAAGATCCAAAGCCATGTGAATTGGTTAATGCGAGGACAAATGGAAGCCATTTTGAGGTGTTGAATCCTTCCTCCGTTAAGAGCTGCACCTCATGGAAAGGTTCAGATAGATCTCTAGTAACTGATTCACCCAGAGGAGTAAGTGATGTGGACATCTCAAGCTCACAGAAGAGTAATCCGCAGTTCCAGCAAGATCTGAGTAAGTCCATTTGTAAAGTAATTGAGCTTATTGAAGGAATCAATGTGCCATCTCCAGATTATAACCCCGAGAATGGGTCCAGGAAGGATGGGAACGTGTCCACATATGTAAATTCGGAAAACACAGGCTACATAGTTCGTGTTTTCCAGTGGAAAACTTCTGAACTCGGTGATCTTCTACAACAGTTTGTTCATGCATGCTATGATTTATTGAATGGAAAGGCCGGTCTTGAAAAATTTGCCCAAGAATTAACTACAGCTTTGGATTGGATTTTAAACCACTGCTTTTCGCTTCAAGATGTTTCAAGCATGAAGGACGCAATTAAGAAGGAATTTGATTGGGATGATACACGAAGTGAAACTGAAACAGAAGTTGGAGTAGTTGGTCACTTTTCAAATGGCCATAGTGTACAAATAGAAGAGCTGCAGGCCAATCTGGTCAAAGAAAACAGAAAATTAAAGAACGAATTGGTGAATTTAGAATCTGAAAGGAGAGAGTTGGAAGGGAGACTTCAGTCGGCTAGTGATAAGAGCGAATACCTGATGAACCAGCTCAAGGAATCTGAAAAAGCAATTGCCAGCTTGAGAACAGAGTTACAAAGTTTACGAGAGTCAAAGGAAATCGTTGAAGACCAGATTAAAAATCACCAGGTGATGAATGAAGATCTTGAAACGCAGCTTGCGGAGGCCAGAGTTGAATTAAGTGAAGCTCGCCAAAAGTTTTTGTCCCTAGAAGTTCAACTGATGAATAAAAAAAAATGCTGTGCAGAGTTGGAGGCTACATGCTTGGAACTACAGCTTCAGCTTGATAGGTACATATGCAGATTTATATATATATATATACACACACACACACACACACAGAGTACCACACACACAAATTACAGCTTTACTTATTTACAATTTAAATTAATTGAGGGATCCTATGCATCAGTGTGAAGAAGAAAAGCTCAAATTCTGATCTCCATCGGGAGGAAAGGCAAGCCCAATATGTGAGTCAATATCCTCTTATTGTACGCACATTTACGTTTGTTTGAGAATCTTTAATTTCTGTTTCCACCTGCACTTTCATTGCGAAATAAAAACCATATCTTAATAGTAGCTTCTTGGGGTGTCATATACTAATAGATGTACAGTGAAACAATAGTCTCATTAGAAACATCATTGAAAGTGATCGACTTAAATGTGGACTCTCTCTCTCTCTCACTCTCTCTCTCTCTCTCTCTCTCTGGATAAACGGAGAGTTCATCTTTGAAAGAAAACAACTACAAGCAAAAAATGATTCTATTGTACTTTCTTGTCACTCAGCTGCAATATTACTTGATTTACTGTTTTTACAGTTCAAAGAACTGAGAATTCTGATTCTTTACTTCTGATCGTAAATATATATTTTTTTTTTAATCAAAATTTCAGGATTGGGATATAACAGCTGCTTCAGAAAAGTTGGCTGAATGCCAAGAGACAATACTTAACCTCGACAAGCAGTTTAAGGCAATGGCTGCACCAAGGGAAGCAGCTCTTTTTGACAAGGTCATCACTAATCCCACTGATACAGATACCCCCACGGCCAAAGCCAGAAGCCCAACCCCACACAAAAACGCAAACCAACGGTCCTCGTTACTAGATAAAATGTTAGCAGAAGACGGTGCTGACATCAAGGAGTTTACCTCTCCAATTTCAAAAGGGGTTTCAACTTCCACATTCAGTACTAAAAGGGTAATAGAGCCCCTCGAGAATATCCTTGTTCTAAATAGTAAATATCAGGATGACAATGCAGCTGTTGGTTCATTAGCTATAGTGCCCGGAAAGAAACTGGGAGGTGGGAGATTATGGAGAAAGCTAGTGTGGAGAAAGAAGAAAGGTAACAGCCAAAAGGCACCCCTTTCGATAGCCCCATGACCAAATCTCCATCATATGATATCGCGATAACGTCGGTGTTCCTTGCTCTGTTGTGATGGCAGTTCTGTTTGTTACGTCCCTTGTATTTGGAAATAATAAGGTTATGGCTGCTGTTGGTCATTTGAGAGATACTGGAGAATGCGTGAATGAGGTTGTGTATTACTGCTGTATATACATATTGTAGGAAACTCAGAATTTGAAACAATTTCGGCACGCGAGAAGTTTGACATTTTTGTATACCCTCATCATGTATTTCCTAGTTTTGTACACGTAATTTTCCCAATAAATAAATATGGTTTTGTTGTGAAATAACTATTTGCAAGAGAGAGTAGAGAGTGGGGGCAAGAGAAGAGAGAGCAGGGGTTGAGGAATTCGGTGTGTAATAACTTATGCCTAGTGTCTTTATTTATATGACGAGTTTTGTTTGCCCTACAGTAGTACAAGGAAAGGATCTTCAAGATCCTATAGGTTTTCTACTTTTAGTTTACACAATCACACTTAAAGTACAATATTGTTCACAAAACTCCACCTTGAGTATGTAGAACTTAAGAAGTAGTCGAACCAGGTCTTCATAGTTAGAAGATGGTGGTTATTGTCGTCAGTTCTCGTTCGCCACATGCAATGCATACACGAGTCTCTAAGTAGAAATGCATACAAGGATAAAGTTTTACCAAAACCTGGCTACTGTAAATCTAGTGGGACAGACTTGTAGTCTAAGAAGAAAAAAGTGAGTTAATGCAATGTCGATATTTGACATCTTCAAAATGCATTAATTAGTAGAAAATGCACACAATGTAACATCCCACATCGCCTAGAGGAGTGGATCATCTAAGCCTTATATGTATATTCCCATCTCTACCTAGTACAAGACCTTTTGGGAACTCACTGGCTTCGGGTTCCATCGGAACTCCGAAGTTAAGCGAGTTCGCGCAAGAGCAATCCCAAGATAGGTGACCCACTAGGAAGTTCTCGTGTGAGTTCCCAGAAACAAAACCGTGAGGGTAGTAGGGGCCCAAAGCGAACAATATCGTGCTACTGTGAAGTCGGGGCCGGGACGTGGTGGGGGCCCGGGCCGGGTTGTGACAATTTGGTATCAGAGCCAATCCCTGGCCGGAAGTGTGCCGACGAGGACATCGGGCCCCTAAGAGGGGTGGATTGTAACATCCTGCATCGCCCAGGGGAGTGGATCCTTTAAGCCTTATATGTATATTCTCATCTCTACCTAGCACGAGGCCTTTTGGGAGCTCACTGGCTTTGGGTTCTGTAGGGACTCCGAAGTTAAGCGAGTTCGGGCGAGAGCATTCCCAGGATGGGTGACCCACTAGGAAGTTCTCGTGTGAGTTCCTAGAAACAAAACTGTGAGGGCATGATCGGGGCCCAATGCGGACAATATCATACTACGGTGGAGTCGACCTCGGGATGTGGTGGGGGCCCGGGCGGGGATGGGACAATTTGGTATTCACATATTCCACATCACTACACTTTATGGCTTCGTCACCTTCCAGGTTTTGGCCAGCACAACTCAATTCAGAGTCCTAGTGGACAATCCGGGTTGGGATGTGTCAGTTTGGTGCATACTTTATGACTTCGTCACCTTCCAGGTGTCGACCAGCATAACTCGATTCGGAGTCCTAGCGGACAATCCGGGTCGGGATGTGTCAGTTTAGTGCTAAGGTGTCGGCCAGCATAACTCAATTTGGAGTCATAGTGGACAATCTGGGTCGGGATATGTCAGTTTGGTGCACACTTTATGGCTTCGTCACCTTCCAGGTGTTGGCCAGCAAAACTCAATTCGGAGTCCTAGCGGACAATCCGGGTCGGGATGTGTCAGTTTGGTGTCCGGGTCGGGATGTGTCAGTTTGGTGTCAGCACCAAACTGACACATCCCGATCCGGATTGTCCGCTAGGACTTCGAATCGAGTTGTGCTGGCCAACACCTGAAAGGTGACGAAGCCATAAAGTGTGGTGATGTGGAATATGTGAATAAATTTAAACCTAAAAGTGCCTAACATGAGAGTGCGCTGTGAGCGGGAATGAACTTATTTCACACGTGACGTCAGAGCATAAATAAGGTACAGTATAATGGATTGAAAATCATACCGTCGAAGGTAATCTCCAATACCAAGACTTGCCATAAATCCTCGTTGATACGAAAACTCTACTACTAGAACCTGAGGTCCGAGCTACGATTCCCTAGCACAAATATCGAGACATCACGAACGATCTTTACCTAGAACAATTATTCAGTCACATCTCAGAACTCTTATCAATAGAACATGTAACTTCCATAAAAGACATCCCAAGGACGTTCTAGAATGATTTGAGACCCATTGACCAAAAGTCAACTATCAGTCAAAGATCAACGGTAGAGTCCACAACCCTATGTAGCTCAATTCGAAGATCCACATCTCGAATTTCCATTCCGTAACTTCCAAAGATCCACATTGTGCTTCTAAAATATCATACTAAAGTTTTATTACGATCCAACAGTTGGATCTCCACCAATTACCAATTCAAGTGGCGGTTAACATTTTATTGTACTGAATTTACAAATGTAATTTGGGAAGATCTGTAATACCCTGAAAATTTAAGTATATGAATTAAATATTCATAATTATGAATACATAGAGAACATCAAAAATAAATCGATTTATGGTTATGGAAATAGAATTGGGAAATTATTACAATTAACGTAATTGTAGTATTGAGCTTTTATTTGATTTTTCGAGAATTTATAGTAATTGATGTGAGTTAAGTTTTAAATTAAACTAGTTACGAGGTTTAAAGTTTGGAAATTAATTATTTAAAATTCCTAGACCCTTTGAGGTCACATTTATATGCTTGAATAGAGCTTGATCTCACGAACATGTAGGCACAAACCGTTCGTGAAATGGTGTTTTACCGAAGAAGTTATTAACGTTTAAAGTCGGGGATAAATTGGTAATTTTAAATATCTTTAGAACGCTCTAGAAAATCTGGAGCCATGTGAAAAAGCCACATGTGTGGCTGGTATGAAGGAAGAAACAAAATGGATGGTTGTAAAAGAAAAGAATAGAAAGGAGAAAAAGGAAAAAGAATAGGGAGGAGGACCAATTGGGTTGGGGGGGGGGGGGGGTTGAGGAGAAGGGAGGAAAAATGAGAGAAGGGGGAGCGGGGGATCCCGCAACCCGGGTATCGGACCCTACCCAATCGGCCCTCTTATGTTTTTCTGGTGGGATTTCGCCCCGTTTTCCAGCGAATTACATCAAATTAACCATTGCAAAACCTTCCATAACTTTCCCTCTTCCTACTACACCTCAAAAATCATGGGATTTGAAATGGGTAGAAACCGCACTGTGGGGTGCGGCGGCTTTGAGTTCGAATTACCCAAAATTTGAAACTACTCAAGTTCAATTCCACCACCATTAGACTCCTTTTGAGGTGTGGAAAAATCCCAAAAAAATTTAGGGGCGTTGGAGTTACTTTGAGGTCGAATTGAACACACCCAAATTCAAGGGTTTCCGACGGTTCGTGGCCAATTTGAGATGTTTCCCGGCCATATTGGGCTTGGACGTAGGTATGAAAGTTGTTCCTCTCACTGAGATCTACTTTCCTGTAAAATTTGGTAATTTTTGAAGATAGTTGATATTTTCAGGCGAATCAGGACGGCCAACCACCACTAGCGGTGGTGCGTGGCCAGGGAGCCTATGCTGTATTTTTAGGCTAATTTTGTTGTTCTGGAATTAAATTTATTAAGCATTTAATGTAATACACTTGTTTGAAGCTAGATGGTGATTGTTAGTTATGTGTAGAAATATCAAAGTTTAATTGAACTGGAATTTGTGAACTACGAATGGCTTGATCTCTATTTAGGGTACGTAGGCAGTCTAACGAGACGTTAGATGCAGCCATAATACCAGTAAGATTAAATATTCGAGAATTAATCTTTGAATTAGAGGTTGCTTGATAGAAGAATTTGGAGAATTAAGTTGATAACTTAATTGATTGTTATGGTAATTAAAAACATGGTTAATTTTATAGGAATTAAATTAGTTGGAGATTTAGAAGTAAGATAAAAGAAATAGTAGCAAACTATACATGAGTTTCGTTTGGGCCTATCACTAATATTATTATTTCCCAAATAAAGCAAATAATTTGGGGCGAGGCGGGACAAGATCCGTATGTCAGATTTCCAATCCGTAAGTTTCTAGTATCCTCAAATATTACGTACTATATTGTATTAAAGTTTGGTGACAATCTAACGATCGAATTGTCAATTCACATAATGTTCAAGTAGTGGTCTTTATTAAAACTATGTTCAAACGATGAGATTTCATCAATTGAACTTCACCTATGGAATTGAGGTGTCAAATTTAGCTTAGAAAGGCCAGGGGATGACTCGACTTACGCACCGCCCCGATTCGTCGGAAAATTCAACTATCTCGAAAAATTCTCAAATTTTACAAAAATGAAGATCTCAACGAGTAGAGCAAGTTTCATACCTGCGGCCAAGTCCAACTTGGCCGGGAAAAGCTTCAAATGACAAGAACCCGTCCGAACCCCAGAATTTCTACAACACCACTGCCCCTAAAACTGTTTGGGCTTTGTTCCTGACCTCCAGAGAAGTGTTTTGGTGGTGGTGATTGAAGGTAAGTATTTCAGAAATGGGTGGATCGCCACCTAGTACCCAAGAAGCCGTGTGTCGGCCTTCACGAAGTTGGAACCAAAACTCTTTCTTTTTGGGCTGAGATGGTGGATGAGAGGCCACATGAGTGATTTGCAGGTGTTGGATGGTGGAGATCAACAAGAAAATTGGCGGAAATTCGCCGGATTTGGGTCGGGTGGTGCGCGGGTGTATGGACTGACGGGAAGGCTGCAACTTCCCTCTTTTTTTTTTTTCCTGATTTCTGATTGGTCTTCCCTTAATTTGATTGGTCCCTTATTCTTTGCTTAAAACTGAATGGGCTTTCTTTCCCACAAGGTGGAAGTTCAAATAATTTATAACTAAACTTTAAATAACCAATTTCAAACGCCCGTAACTATACCGTTATAATCCGGACTCGCAAACGGCTTTCGCATATGCGATCGTGGCAATGATTACTACGCAAATACTCCAAAAGAATGACTCATACATCTCTCTAAACAATGCCCAACGGAAGTCAAAATCCTTACCTCTAGGGCATTTTCATCAATTCACGCTTTTAAAATTTATAAAATGTAAAATTAGGGATGGGTTGTCACAATCTACCCACCTTAAAAAATTTTGTCCCCAAAATTTAAAATCACTTGCTACGCATTAAAATACTTAAGATAGAAAGAAGATGTATAAA